CTGCCGCTGCCGGAAGGTTCCGCCTGGAGCGAAGGTTCCGGGGGCGCCGGCCGGGGGATAGCGGGCCGGATCCTACCCCCAGAGGGGTAACGGCAAAATCCTCTCTTGGGGCTGCTCACTGATTATTTGGAGGTGTTGCTGCTATAATTCACCACCTCAAGAGCCCGAGGTGAAGCTTGGCTCCGAGGCCATCGCACAGAGCAGCTCTCGGGACAAACCTACAGGCAACATCCCTGCGTGGCAGAGCCGAGTTTGGAGTTTTAGGAGCATGACAATAAAAGATGCCATATTAACCTTTCCTGCAACCTGATAAAAAAAAACAAACAACCAACCAAGCTTTCCAAAAAGGGCTGCTCGGGAGGTGGTCTTCAGAGCTTCCCAGAGGTTGAAATGGCATTTGCCTTTCCTCATTAGAAACATCCCTCTGACTGCCAGTAAGGCTGATGCTCTCAAGGCCCTGCTGTGCATCACCCTGTGGGGTGGCATCACCCTGTGGCATCAGGGAAGGAAGCTTTGGTACCTCTCTGCCCTCTGCTCCCCTGGCATTAAAGTTCCTTAACAGCATGCCTCAGCAATTACCCAGCAGAGCCTCAGCTCCCTTTTGCCCTCTGAAAACGAAGACACAGCAGCATCCGTCACCCCAAGCTATTAACAGTCAGAGCTACTGCAGGCAGCAGCAGGTTGGCACACAGAGGGGGGGCAAGCATGAGCATTCAGATTTTTCCCTGCACACCCTCTCCTCTAGCTGCATTAGAACACGTGCCCGATGCACATGGGGAGCTAAAGATATGACAATTTTAAGAGAAAAAAAAAAAAAAAGAAGGGCTCTGGATGAATGTCTTTGCTATGCTGTGTACAATGTTATTTTAAACATTAGCCAAATACAGCTACTTTATATCAACTGAAGCCTTAAAAAGATATTCCTATTCAATTTTTGAGCTCATAGTGACTTTTAGTCAAAATAAATGCCGAACTTAAATTGTAGCTCCATTAGAAGGACAAGAGAGGTAAAGTAGGTACAGAACTATTTTCTGACCTCATTCTTAAATGAAAATAAATTACAAGGAAAAACAATGAACCAGTTTATCTTCCAGAACACCAATGTTTCACTTCATGACAAAATGAAAGCTAGAGCTAGAGGAATAGTTTATAATCCCCAGGGGAAACATAATGATCTCAAACACACACATACACATATGTTCACTCTGCCGCGAGTTAACAGCTTCCCAAATAACTTCACGAGGTATCAGAAGCAGGATATCTGTGAGCTATAAAGCAGTGCAAGGTGTTCAGACATGTACTCCCCTCTACAACATTTAATGAAAATAATAAAACAAGAAAAATACTAAATCACTCCCCTCACACTGTGAGAAGGGGTAGATACAACAAACTGCTGCAGGAATCTTATCCCTGTTACAATACCACACTGGAAGGATGCAAGTGTCACTCAAAAGCAGCAAGCAATTCCAGGGCATTTTCTCTTTCATATATAATTTTATTTCTGGTTATAGAAACAAATGCTAAGAGGAGAAGCAACATTCTCCAACCACATACATCAAATTAAGGTAACAGAACAGTTAAAATAAATGAAAAAAATAGTAGAAATTTAAAACTTTGTTATAGCTTTAAAATATTAACGTTCATGATACATTAGAAATCACATTCAGATCTCAAATTACTTAAAAAATGTATGGCTCCATATTAAGAAAAACAAAACCACTGTATCCCATTTGATGTGGAAATGCAGGTCCTGCTCCTCAGATGCTTGTACTTGCCATCTCCTCTGGTGAGCAGCAGCCTCAGCACAACCAGGACACTCTCCCACCCCTTGTGGGAGCCATGGCCTGGCTGTGCAGTTAAGCATCTCACAGGAGCAGTGCTGCAACATGGCCGGATAAAGGTGAGAGCTTTACATCCACTGCCCCAGATGGAGCTTTCCCCCTTGGGATACACATCTGCTTTTAAAAAAGCACTGGTAATGAAAACAAGTCACAAAAAATACTTTTGATATCAGCTGTAAAAAAACCTCAAACATGAACACCAAGACATCTGGCTGGAGGTGTCTTGTACAGGCAACACCAGGAACTGAAACACAAGCATGGCTTTAGTTCCCCCATCCATCCCCATCCTTAACTTAAGTGCCAAATCCAGGTGAAAGGGGTAAGGCTCCCCCCATCTCTGTAGCAGAACACTTCTGTCAAGCCACTGAGGTATTTTACATCCTCATCTCATCGCAGCCTTCCCCTAAGGACTCAGTGGGAATGCTTATCAGTAGAACAGGGGGAGATTAGCAAATATTCAGAGTTGGATCTGGATTTCCAGCTTTACCATCCATTGCTCACATCTTTTGATTTATCTCTAGACAGCTTTTAACAGTCCTTTGGATAGCTACAGGCTCTTAAAAGGCTCTTTTTGGCTACACAGAGGTTGGCTGGTAGGCTGGACAAGGCCAGTCTCATCGCAGTATAAATGGTATGTCTAGAACCCAGGAAAACATACAGCCTTGTAAGACTTCTGTATTTTAAAGCCACATTTTCTGTAACATTACAGGTATTTTTTTTACATTCTCAGTTTTCCATTAAAGCAAAAAGATCTTACAGCAATACTCTGGTTCCCTCTACTTCAAGCCCATTTGGGAGAGAAAGAGATAAAGCGAGTTTAGGTTTACAGTAACTCATTTGCTATAGAGCCAACTTGCCTACTTAGCAGCCTGTCCATCTCTGAAGAGCTGTATATAAATCAGCAGAACATTAGGATGTTCTGCACCAGACTTTTAGCAGCAAGGCAGTGAAACAGAAGGAAATCTCACTTTCTGCTCAATTTCTCATTCTCCAGCTAACAGACACTTCTCAAGGTTGCCCTTCGCTTTAAGGAAGGCTCTGTTTCAGACTGCTTTAAGTGAAACCGAGGTGGAGTAGAAGCAGGACTGAAAGCTCTAGATCACAGCAAAGGTGCATTACTTAGCAGCAGATATGAAGTAGTAACGAAATACTAGGGGTAAGTCTGGTTTTCACAAAGGCTGTTTTCTGCTGAGGAGGAAAACTGTTTACTTTCACCGATCCTATGCTGGTTACTCTTCTTATCACCAATCCTGTCCTCCCCCTCAAGTATCAAGCCCAATCACCAGACAGTAAACACTATGGTAAAGCTGGTAAAGCATTCACTCAGGTCCTTACAGAGAAAGGAATTTCTGCTTCTGAAAGAGCAATTAGGATTAGGAAGCCAAGTATCACCTGTTTTTAAGAATAATTCTCAAAAGGCCCAAGTGGATCAAAACACACACTTCTGTGAATTTAGTGATTCTTGTGGAGTTAAACCATGACTGAAATTTGGCCAGTTAGTAAAATTTGCTCCTTGTGAATGGGAACATTAGGAAAACTCTTATGCATTTGTTTTTAAGGGGATATATACACACCTCATGCCCCATGAAGAGATAAAAAGCATCATAAAAGGAGAATAATCTCACCACAGAGGAAAAAACCTAACTATTTCATAGTGCCCCAGTGTTAGCTTAGCCACCTGACAGACAGACAGGGAGGATCATGGACCCTCCATTAATATTCCCTGTTAGAAATAAGGTCCCATGACTTACAGAGCAGAACCTGTAAAGAACTCCCCGATAGCTCATCTAGAGATAATTTGAGACAAAAAAGGATTCCAGCTTTCATTAGTGCCATTTGGGGGATTTTCTTGCCAGAAAAGCAGCACAGACTGGGGTTGCTGAAAGCATGGCAAAGCCAGAAGCAGGGCTCCTACACAAGGAAGATACAAGTACGAAGTCATCTCTTCTTCTCTGCAAGAGGAATGAAAGCAATTGCTGAAGTTAAAGCTGCTTCTACTGGCTGCTCACATTTGTTACAAAAATAGGTACATCGTTCTTTTAGAGTCAGTGCCTGGTGCAGGAATTTACCAACATATTGTATAAAAGTCTGTGTAAAGTACCTTTTAAGAGAAAGAAATAGTCATGGACCATTTATATATCTATATTGACACACACACTCACACACACACCTTAATAAATATAAATTTTATGTTTACACAGATCTAATTTAATATTCTCTGAAAAAAAATATTTAAAGGGTTTATTCCTTAGCTGCCACCCATGAATTGTCAATTTTTTTTTTCCTATCTTGAGAGCAAATGGGGTAGACTTGGCACAACTACCCTCAGGCTCTGAAGCTTAAAGTGACATGTAAGGAGAGGACCAGCCATACATTCTGAAGAGTTTTAATTCAGTGTTGGTAAATTGAAAAGGTATCAAAAGAATTTTCTGAACATATAAATACAAAGGTTAAAAGTTGATTAAAAATTTGGAATTTAAATATAGTGCTCCAAGAAAACCAAGTATTTTTCAAAATGTCTTGCTCAGGCCAAAGTTAAATGCTCACTGCTGTATTACTGCCCCATGAAAGACACCCTAACAGAGAAAGCCCACCATCACAGCTAGGTACTTTCCACTGCTGATTATTGTACATACCCACACCCCTGTGCACAAACACATGCACTGTCCTGCAAATAACCCACCTCGCAGAGAGAGATGCTGATCTACCTGATCACAGCCAAACAGCCACTAGGCAGCCGCAGAGAGAGGCACTCCAGCACAAAGTCACAGCTACGTTCTGATCAGGTGTAGATCAAATAGCAAGAAGGCATCACTTTCCCAATCCCATCAGTTCCAGCAATCCAGACAACCTTGTAGTGTAACTCTTTTCTGCAGCACAGCTGGCTCCATTGTAAGCTACACTTTACAACAGTAGTGTATGCTATAGTAGTAGCAGCTTTGGCATAATTTTTCACCCAGAAGGAAACAAAGAGTTACATGACTGAATAGTCTGTTGTATAACTGCAACCTAACACACAGATTCTCACCAGATGCAGACCTTCAAGCAATGGCATTAAATTAGGAGCTGGATTAAAGGACTCTGGAGTTGAAAAACAACTACAGAGGGGAAAAACTGTGATGGGGAGCAGAAACAGGAGCTGCCTGAGAGACTGGCTGGCAAGGGAAAACAGATCATTTGTTACAGGATGGCATTTGCAAACTCAAAAACTCAGTGTGCAGCAAGGGCAACATTATGAAGCTAGTAATGTTTCTTCAGAGGTTCATTCTTAATGCTCTAGTCCAACTTACTAGCAGTGGGACTAAAAAGCCTGAAGGATTTTGCAACAGGCTAGAAACTCAAGGCAAGTTCCACACTGGATTGAAACTATGACTTGATAAGGTAAAGCACAGGTATTTTTTTAAAAGTGATCAGGATCCTTCAGTGCTGCCTCCTGTTTAAAAAGCTCTGAGACCCAAGCTGGCACTCTTCCTTTGAAGAGAGGGAAAAGCTGGTTGCATATGTATAAATGCAATCCAGTCCCCGTTGTGACTAATTTCTTACACTTACACTTGTCTCACAGCAAAAGATCAAAGAGTACTGGGCTGTACTTGCAAAAGTAGCTAGCAGGCCAGGGAAAGGGGTTCTTCAACTCCATCCAGCATTTTTCAGGTCATATCTGTATTACTGTGCCTAGTTTTTGGGCTTCTCAATACAAGACAGCAAGGTACCTTCTACAGCAATTCCACATGATGCCCTGGGGGCTTGTGCATGTGATATATATAAGAAGAGACTGTAGACAACCAGGTTGGTTCAGCCTTAAGAAAAGGAAGCAAATGGCAAAAATCTTACTGGTGTCTTCAACTATTTGGAAGATGCAGAGCTTGGCTCTTCAGAGGTGTGAAGATGTGATAGGACAAGAGGCAATGAACACATGCAGCTGCATGGGAAATTCTTATTAGCTGAGAAAGTTTTCACCTCATGGGTGGCCAAAGTGTATCAGAGACCACAGTCATGGAACCTCTGTCTCTGGAGACATCCTTAGTTGGACAAGGTCACAGCAATGTGACCTCGTTGGACCTGCTCTCAGCAGGAGATTATAGAAGAGACCTCCAAATGTTTCTTCCAATCTAAGTTATTCTATATTTCTATGACTGGCCAATGGCAGAGACAAGCAGAGATTTGATCTTCCCTAATAGTGCAGTTTCATGTGATCTATGTTTATCACAGTGATAAACTATAAGTGTCAGAAGCAAAGTTTGGAAACCAGTTGGAATTTAATCCTCAAATGCAATAAGCTTGAAGAAACAGCTTTTGATCCTCTGTGGAAAGGTACAGAACTATTGCTAGACTAAATTCTTGTCACCCAAGATCCCCAAACCTAGGTATGGCAGGGAAACATTTCTCCTTTCACCCTATATTTTGATGTTTGTTTACACACTAGCATGTATCAGAGCGGTATATCTCATTGGGAAATGTCCTTGCTAACACAGATGAAGAGCTCTAACATCAATTTAACATCCCCAGTGGTCAGTGAAAAGTGTTCCACGCCATACTGTATGAAAGCTCAGGTCAGATGCTCTCAGTTGCTTAGATATAGATCCCTAGCCTTCTGTGCTTCAAGTTTTATTTTACTGATGGCATTTCCCTACTGAAAAAGGGGAAAAGTGTGGAATTTAACTCTGAATGACAGTTCTAAGTCAGTACACAAGTCTAAAACATGCAAAACTAAGTTTACTCCACCAAAAGCTGAAGCCAGACCATGACAGTGATTGCAGAAGCACTGTGAAGGTTTCAGCTGTTATTTAACTATTTCTTTCCTCTTAAAAAGCTTTAACATGTCTCTGAAAACACACTCCTGAACAAGCTGTGCCCAACAGTAACATCTAAAACACAGCATGAAAATTAAATACAGGGTGACCAAATTGACCTTTCTCAGCCTGCTCTGGAGCTCCATGTATCCCACAGGTATTTTCATCCTTCAGTCCTCAGGCAGAGCTTAATGCAAGGTGCCGCTCCTGTCAGCAGATAAAAATGACTGGATATGCTACAAGGGACAGCGTTAATGGTATGGGGGAGGGAAATGGTATGGGAAGAAAAAGGAATTGAGAAGAATATATGAGCTAATCATGAACCTCAATTCTGTGCTCAGCATTGTGTTGTGTTATCACTAAATCAGATTAAATTGATCTCACTGTAAAAAAAACTTCCTGTATTACAAGAGCCAAGGTCAAGACAAAATAATAAGTAAGGAATTCCAGTAGAATAAAAAAAAATAAAATCAAGATTAACTGCCTTCAGCTTTCGCAAACTGAGACAACAGAAGTTGCTATAAACTGACCACTATAAAAGTAAAATTAGTCTTTGTCATTGCCCAAGGTAAAAAAAAAAAAAATAATCAATTGGTAATGGTGAAAAGTGAATTCACACATTAAGAACTCAGTTTTAAAGTTCTCCCAAGTCTAAGATATAGCAGGTTAAATATTCAGCATGCCCTGACCTTTGTTATACAGAGAGAAGATGGAGGGAAGCCTCCTACTCCTTTCCCCCTCAAACCTCCCTCAGTTAATATAATTGAGGACATGAGATGCAACTTTTAGACAATAAAAACAAGTTAGACGATGAATTTAAAATAATCTGAGTGCTGCATATAACCATTAAGTTGGCATTTTCTTTGTAGATGAAGACTTAATTCTACTATCACATTAATCTGTAGCGCTCAGAACTGAAAACCTGGGGAATCAGGATTGATATGCAAGAAGAGAGGTGCTGTCTTTCAGACTGAGGAGTGTGTCTGGAAGCTTCAAACAAGATGTCTGTCTCATGTGCTCCAGATGAAGAACCACATTTTTCCACAGCTCTCAACAGGATTTAGAGAGAACTGTTACTTTACCTCATATCAGAGAACAATACAGACAATGTATAGGCAAACATACCACAGAAGTTTTCAAGTGGCATGGCTGCTTCCTACAGGAGGAAGGGGATGCAGCAGACTGGTAAAGCAAAAAGCTCCTGACATGATGAACCGACAAGTTCCAGACACCTCAAAGCAGGATGGGTGAACAAATATATTTGCTTATCCTCAAGTCACATTTTAACCAGCAGGCATTGTGAGCCACAAAAGATGAGTGAGAAAGTGTTATTCTGTTCTAAATACTGAAGCAGCGGATCTATACACGCAAGCTGAGGATGGATTTTCAAGAGGTATTGATAAAACAGCACCTGGTGTATGAAAACACTGTGATTCAGCTGATATATTTCTATAGTGCTGGACTAGTTTACAGAAGTTTAGGGCCTAATTATTCAGCCTTTCCAAGAGAAAAGCAGCAGTGATGAAAAATCCACAAAACTCTGGCAGCTTCACATCCTGAACAGTATTTTTTTGGTTGCTCATCTTGCATTGACTCACCCAACATACTGGAAACCCAAAGACTCTTCTGCTTCAGGAAAGCTCCCTAGCCTCAGGGCTGTTTCAGAGGCATGCCTGAATCTAAACCAGCAGTAATGATTAATCACAGATAAACTATGCTGCACTCTCACTTGTGCGTTCTTCCTTGAAGTCCGTTTTATTAAATTCTGGCTTTGAAAAGTCTACAGCAAACAGAGCTAATCCGTGTGCTTCTCCACTGTGCCACACCTAGCCTTCCTAACAGGAAAAGTGACAGCTGGAGGCTGGCCCACTTCAATTACTTCATGGTCTGTAACAATCCTCCTTCACAAAATCATTTCAAAGTACTAAAATCCAATCTAATAACTTGTCACTAAAGGCAGACACCTAAATTACAAAAGCCTAGCTGTGCTGAATATGTTGTGTGCCTCTAACCGCAGAAATAACCACAAATCACGAGACCAAGAAATTTTCCCTTTTTTTCAGAAATATTTCTCAAAGCAATTGGCTTGAGAATAAAACATGGGTAGGTTTTATTCAAACAGTGGGACCTGGCTGTTGAGTATGATTTGACAAAGAGAAAGGAAACCTAGAAGGGAACAGGTGATGCCAGCTGTTACCTTGCAGATTTCCTCCCCCTCCCCAGATTCCAGCAGACATTGAATGGTTGTGCCTTACCCCCTAATCCCAACGGACATACTGACAGTATCATTTACTGCACATTGGGGAAATCTTTTTGCAGAGGGCTTGCCTCTCTGCTCTGAGATAGTACTGTCAGACTGTGCAAGACAGCAACCTGACAATAAATCAATACAGATAGGGGGATAACCTACCAAAGACATATCACATCCTGCTTAAGTCTCTTTTGCCATTACCAAAGCCATAACATTTTCTAAATTGAGAGATCTCTGCTGTGCTGCCAGAAGACATTAGCCAAGGGGACTGCAAACAGGCAGAAAACCAAAGGGGTTAGCTGGAGGCTATGCAGGGGTTGATTTCTTTGATAGTCAAAAGGCACTGTTCCATGTGGCTGGAGTGACTCAGATCTGCTTTACTTGAGATGTACTTGTACTACATGAAGAGTCTAGAATACAATTTGAGTAAAAGCCTCCTCCTACTGGCCAACCCAAATAGTCCTCAAGGGAGGAGAGATGGGAGAGGGAGCCTGGCACTGAAAGGAAACCTCCAAATTCCTTTTGGAAAACCTGTTTGAAGACCTCCAGTGACTTTTGCCACATGGAAATTGAAAGGCCTCTTTTGCCTTGGTCTCTATACCCTTTACAGAATTTATATTAAACATTGTATGAACTCTGCTGCCTCTCACTCCAGCTCTCAACTTCCGTCTCAGAAGAGTAACACAGGAGCTTTGCTGTTAGTCATGGCAGAGGGCCAGTGACAGACTCCAATCCAGCCCTGGCCTCCCAACCATCGTTCATCTAGCTGAGGACCACACTATGACCGGGAGGTGAAGGCAGACTGCTTTAGTGCAGAAAACCAGCCAATATTTTCTAAAGTTCACAGAAACAATGGCAATGTCTTTACCTACAGTGCCATTTTGAACAAAACCTGGTGCTCCAGCACAGGATGTGATCAATCAAATGCACACAGAACCTTTTGAAGACACCCTTCCCCATGTGATCCTCAGTCATCAAGAAACTTTGGCTGTTGTCCAGAGCAAGCGATGAATAATTGTAAGAAATCACTGAAGGTACAAAACCCTTTGTTTTTAATATCTTTACAGGAACCAAATTAATACAGTTCCTCTGTCATCTTATTCTCCCTCAGAGGGAATGGAAAGAAATTGCATCTGAAAATCCAGGTGGCTGAGCCCTGTAGCTCTTCCTCCTGAACCCCCACATAAATAAACATTCGTTCATATTCAGAATTTTTCTGTTTTAAAAAACGAAATCATTTGCCTTTTTCTTTAAGCTTGGTACCATGTTTCTTTAATGTTGTTGTGAGATACTGCATCCATCTTTCAGCATTTGATTGCCTTAGGTGGCCTTTTTAAAATGGTCCTATGGTTCAAAGCTCTGAGAAGCACAGTATTAAGGCATAGAAAATGAGGAGTTTTCTTTCCAGGGAGCAGACTGTAATTGTGTTACATTCCTTTAGATGCTGAGCTGCAAATCCCATTCCCTTGGAGCCAAAAGGGGAAAAGACAGTTAAAAAAATATCCCAGCAGTCATACAATCAGTTGTCTGTATTTTTTTGAATTAAAAAAAATAAAAAGGAAAAAATATCCCATAGGTAAAGACAGAACAGAGTTCCAGATATGGGTTCTTGAGAGGGATTTTCCATTCTTTTTGGCACCTTGTGATTCTAACAGCTGTTGTCCTCCCATTTAAAAATCTGACTTTAAAGAGAACTCTTTATCCGTTATGTTTTGAGCTGTTACAGTTGTGGTTTGTTTTCTCTGAAAGCTGCTTTAGGGCTCCTGCCATCCCATGCCCATCCTGTATCTCTCCAGCTCCTCCCACTGGTTCTTCATTCACTGGTTGCCTGTCCTTGTGGCACTGCAGATGTGATGACTCCAGTTTGAGCTGCGACGGCTCCACTGGACTCTTCTATCCGGGGTCTTTTCACTTCAGGTTCACTGGAAGAGGCTGCTGCTGTTTCTTCGGTCCCTGTCTCACACACCCGGCTGACTACAACAGGAGTGGATGAGCTGGCCTGGGCTGCAAGAAGCTGCAATGGATTTGTAAGAGCTGGGAAGTAGGACAAGAGAGAGAAAGAGAATTAATGTGGTGAAGTAGCACAAGTGTTCACTGTTCCAGAAAGTAAGATGACAAAGCACCACAGTCAAATGTGATAGCTAGCACACACTGAAGTGCTGTTTTCAAGTCCATTTTGCAAGGCTTGCTAGCCTTGTCTTTCCCTCTCCCCCCACAATCTCATCTTTGTACAAGTTTACCAAACTGCTAATAACCCCTTTCATAGTAGAACTTCCTTCTTCCTATCCGTTGACAAATACAGCATTGCCAGCTAAGCAATCATCTCCAGGAGGGGAGGATCAATCCCGTTAAAATTACAGCACACCTCTTTGAGAGGTAGTTGTCTGGCCACTTACAATCAGAACTTCTTGCAAGCTACAACATCTGTGTGCTGTGCCTTCAATTTAGAGGGCTCTCTTTAGCCCTGCTTGCACAGTAAGAACAGCCAGTCTGTTGGGAAACTAGATTAGAATCCAAATATTGAATGTACTGACATCTCAAAGAAGGGGCAGGAAAGAGCTTACCCCAGACAACCAAATGCGTTCCCATCAGAAGTGGGATCAGAACGTAGGAATTTCTGGCTCCCCATCTTGTATTCCAGTACTTACAAAAGATTTCACCCTCCCATTAATAAAAGTGGTGAGAAAAAGAGGACAATTTAAGTAGCAACCCTCCATAAAAATGTCTACAATTCGTAGTTCCAGACAGAGAATGTGCTTACACACTGGCTTTGGCACACAACACTGCTTGGAAAACAAAACACATGCAGTTTTTGGACTCTGCATCAATCGCAGAGGCAGCCAAAGGGGACTCAGGAGACAGCACATCCTCTGCCCTCCAGACTGATTTGCAAAGGATGGAATGACAGAACATTAGTGGTGTGTTCACTGCTAAGTGCATCAAAAAAGGAGCCCTAGGATAAATAAACAAAGCAAACAGAACAAAGGCCCTCAAAGCCCAGCAACTTCTACCAAGGCAAGGGAAGGAGGCTGTAGAGTATCAACAGGATGAAGGAAAAAACCACAGGGTAAGGATGAGGGCAGTCACCAGTTACAGTTCCGTGACTTTGAGAACTTAAACCGTGTAGCTGAAGAGAAGTTAACTTCATACAGACAAGAGTCAAGAGACTCAGGCTCTGTTTTGTGAACCAGAAAGTTCATGACCGCTTTTTCAAAAAACCTCGGATGCAACTGGAATGCTTTCCAGTTTGATGAGTACTAGAAAAATTTTGGTGAGATTAAAATACCTTAAAAATATTAAATAAAACCCTATCTGACTCTACATTAGGCAAATGCCTACTGCTGGGTAGCAGCAACTCCACCTGATATCTTAATATCCTAGTTGCATAAAAACTGTACTGTCATTTTTTCATCACTCCAGCAAGATTCTTGCAATTCAAGTGCAAGGCAGGTGATACTGCAAATAGACACGGCAGAAAATTTTGTAGAACCATTCCCACCTTCATGGAGGCCATTAAAATCCCACCAGTGCCCTCCATTTCTAACTCCCCATAAACACCAGCTGGAACAGCAGTGATGCTTAGCATCTCACTGAGAAGGGCTGTAAGAAACCTGGGTATTACCGTGCTGTCATCATCCTTAACTGAACAAAACCTGAGGTGCTGAGCAAGCAGTAAGAGGAAGATGCCAAGACATAGCTAGTGTGGGATTTTAAAAATCAGGCTTGACAAATGGCTAGAACACATCCTGTACATAAAAAAAAATTCCTACATTCATTCACCTGATGAAATAGATCTTATTTCTCTCAGGCTCTAAGACCTTAAGATGGAAGAATAGGTTATTTTCTTAATACTCTATGGAGTCATATTTCACAAGATCTAAAGAGCACCATGGAAATTTTATTATTTGGCATGCTGAAAGCAAAGGCCGTTTGTCAGAACAAAACAAATGGAAACAGGCTCTACACAAGAATCACTAACACTTTCAACAAGTAACTCTCAAAAGGTAGAGAGTATAAGTAGTAATAAATGCATAGCAAGGACAAAGGAAAGACACTGGACTTGTCAGAAGCAATGCTAGCTCTCAAAACTTTTCCACTAGGCAAAGGGAACGGAAGTGGACAGAAGGGTATCTACCACTGACATTTAACGCCAGAGGCTGAAGAATTGGAATACCTTTGGAACTGGACACAGGGAATAACTTGATACATACTAAGATGACAAAAGCCTTACAGCTTTACAACCTAACTGCTAAGCATAGAGGGCAATTAAAAACCAGAAAGCAATGGAAGCAGATCCTACCATAAGTGCTGCCCGTGATGCTGTTGGAGGGGACGGCGTGTTTCCCGTTCTGAGTGACTGCCCGCACGGGGAGCTGGTGCTGTCCGATGGTCACTGGAGCCGCCTGCTGAAGGATCGTGACTGTCTGTCCTGGAACACCCTGTGCCATCTGACTGGCAACTGTCTGAATAACACGGCTGGCTGTAGGTATTGTGGCAAATGCAATAGTTGGCTTTTCATCCATGCCTGCTTAAGAATAGAACAGACAACAACCATTTACTACCCTGGCTTAGGAGCAGGCTTTATTCTCATTAACATTTTAGTAGTGATACATACTCCTGGCTTACACATGTAAAAATACCTCAGCACCACAGGTCGGGATGAATATTTGAAAACACAAAAATATCCTCTGTTGCATATATCCTCTATCAATATTAAGAACATTTTTCTTATAGCATACACCACTCAGCAAAAAAAAAAAAAGTCAAGATTATAAGCTTGACCCTTTGTCCTAAAAAGGCATCATCTCCCTTACTGGCACATTATAGCTGTGATATGGACACCAGTCACTGCAAATCTCATAGCTTACTTTGTAATTATGGGCAAATTGGCCTGACTCTCAATACCACACAGCGGGAGAAGGCATTAAGATCTTAAACACTGCCTGGAGCCAAAAGTCTGCAACAGCTTGCTGTCATGCCTGCATGTAGGTTGATTTACAAAGGAGGTCTTCCCACAATTGCTAGCTTTTGCCAGCTATGGAAGTATATGAAGAAACCAGGAAGGTGGGGGGGGGGAATGAAGGGTGAGTTCCTGGATAGAGGTAACTGTTTGAGAGTACTCAACCACTTATCACACTTTTCAGGACAAGTAAGGGGTCAATTCATCAGGTATGTAATAGAGAGAGCACAGCCTCCTGCAGGGCATGCAGTAAAGGAGAGCCACTCTTCTCTTCCAGGGGCTCTGTGGGTCTCAAAGCAGAGAAGGCTGGCAGAAAACAAACTCAATTAGACCTGTAGGAAAAGACTTCTCCTATTTTAACATTAGTAGACAACAGGAGTGTTGTTAGATGGGACAAAGCACTGAGCTAAGAACTGCAGGCAGGCTGACGGGAAGCAGGGAGAGAAAAGGCAAGGAAAGCAGGGAGATTAGGGAGGAAAATGGAGCAACTAGGAAAAACAAAGGGAATGCAGAGACTAGAAAAGGATATGAGTGGGAACAAGAGAGGGACAAGTAGGGAAAGAACAAGTGACAGCAAGAACTAGTGAATGAGAGAAAGGAGCAGCTGTGACTGTTAGTGATTCAGGAACATGTATGGGATCCAGACAGGAATTTCTAGAAAATGCAAGTGAAACTCAAGCAGGATAACCAGGGCTGAACTAAAAATGCCAGTGGTCCTGCTACTGTGGTTGGGAAAGGTCTTTGTAATTTTTTTTCTTTCCCTTGGAGAAGAACCACTGCCCACATAAAAGCAATCAGAGTAACTAGCCTTGTTGCTGGTACAACACACATCTATCTTGTAGCACCAAGCCCTTCTGAAATGGCAAGCAGACAAGGTGGTGTCTAGATCACAGCAGGAGAACATTTAAATTGCCAAATCCCCCAAGGCTGGAATTTCCAGCTTAGGAAAAGAGGCTTTTGTTGTAACTGGTTTTTGAAGATTGCTTTAAAGGGGCACTGCCTGCACTTCCAGAAGCACATGCTTTCCTCTATGAATCCAGGCCTGCAAAAAAGAAGGATTCAGTCATTTATTTACAAGGCCATCCTGAAGCAGAGAGTGTCAGACTTTCCCAGGCCATCTCTTTTGGCTAAAAAAAAGCATCCATTTTTGTAACACATCCAGATGACCAATACATAGGCATAATATTAATATTGGGGATAATATAAATATTTAAAGCACTGCATGTTCTTTCAGCCTCCAAAGTCTGTTAGATTTGTTCCTCATAGCAGACAAAGGAGCACAGCTGTCCTGCTCACTGGTGGAGAATCAAATGGATGAGCTTTTATTTGGTTTTACCTGACGAAACATCTTTTATTAAGGGCTAAGCACCCAGTGAGTGAAACAGTGACACCCTCCCTCCTCAAAAGCCTGCTCAAGACTTAGAGTAACAAAGGTGAAAAGCTACCTCGGTGATCACCAGCTAAGTCCAACACTGCTCCTGCAGCTTCATGAGCTCCTCCTGCTGTGCCCTGATTTGTGAGGATGTATCCGTTTGCAGAGTTTGCAGAGGAGGTCACAACTCGGACCATTGTAACAGTGGGAGCTTGCTGAACTACGTGAATCGCATGACATGAAGGCTGTTGTGAAGTCACTATTGATGCTGGCATGTATGCGACTGGTTTTGCCACCAGAGTAGATGGTCGGGGAGGAACAGCCATAATCACTGGCTGGGCACTGACTGGAGAACCTGATCAGAAGAGAGAAGCACACATTAATAGGAGAGGAAAAAAGGCTGCCATTCATTTCATCTATGCCCTTCTTAATCTGCAATACCCAGTCCTTCAGCATTAGCTGTAGTAGGGGTAGGAAACAAAAATAAAGCTTCAAGAACACCACCTTCCATCTTCTCTTTCCTAACTTACAAAAACCTTACCTGCCACCTGAGCACACCTCTGTGAATAAAAGCCACAATACGCACAAAAAAATAAAGCTCTACTTAATGAGGTCTGCCTTACAACTTCACCAGAAACACCCCATACATCAGGCCAGTTACAGCACAGCTGACTAGTTGATATTTAACCACAGCTTAACAAATTACCAAGACCCTGGCCATAGCACCACAGAGCTCTGCGTAGCCAAGCTGATCTTATCCAGAAGGCTGATAAATTACTGTGAGCTTCATACTGCCATGGCTACTCCACTGTCAGTTTAGAGCCACCTAGTTCAAGGTTAGCTCATGTGTTTCTACATTCCTTTATTTCCTGCCCCCTCATCCAAAGACCAGTAAGAAAAATGGCCTGAAGTCTAACAAAAGTGTAAAGAAAAACAGATTCTCCTGTAAGACACTGGCTGAAGTGTTTCTGCCATGTCCTCAGCATGGCACTTTGTGCAATTCAACAGTCATCCTTTGTGAAACAAGAGCTACTCACCAGGTGCACTCTGTGAATACCGATACTCTGGAACTGAGGCTAACTTTGACCCAAAGTCGTGATCGTGTGGAATGGGTGAGCCCTCCCGTGACAGGCACTCTGGAGTCTGTAGGCCACTAGAGTGAGGGGACAGCAGGCCAGGGTGAGTAGGGGAAGCAGGAGCACTCCTGAAACACCAGAACGTAGGGTTGGCAAGTGTAGATGCATTTTGACGAGACAGCAGCAGAGATTGAAAAATATCTCCAGTGCGGGATTCTCTAGCAGAAGGACAGCCTTTCTTCCATATTACCCACTACAGTCTTGCTGGGAAGAGCTGAAAGGTACACAGTAACCTCACAAATGCTTTAGCACCAAATACAGTTGTATTATTCCTTGCTGAAGGAAAGTAGACCCTTCAGAGTATGCTTCAGATTTCATTTTAAGACCCACTGCTGACAAGCTGTAAGTGCCTCATGTTCAGATCAGTTTTATAACTTCAGGCCGTTCTCAAAGGATCTTTGTCAGTATTTGAGAGTGACAAGGAGAGGAAGAAAGATGCCATGTAGATGTGTCTGGCCCCACATATGCTTACAGGGCAGTTGCTCCCCCTTTCTCCCCATTGCCTCCCTCCCCAACCACTTGGTTCCCACCTCTGGCCCCACGTGGCCAAACACTTGAGGAACTGAACATTTCTACCCTGTTTGTCATTAAAGAGAAGCTGATCAGCTGAGGACCTCACCTCATGTTTCCCCCCCATTTTAACAGACAGAAAAGAAGAGGTGTGGGAGGAATGTTACATGAAGCTGCTCCAGCTAGTGTTGAATTGCAAGTCTTTATCTTCACAGCTACAGGGCTCAGAGAAAGCTGTCATTGCACACAGCTCCTCTTTTACAGTCACCACCGCTGACTGGAACAGCTACACAGAACACCCCTCATTGCTTCACTGCTGACAACCATGATCAACCTGATCTTCCCTACAGGAGAGTGTTTTAAATACCACAAGTTATTCTCACTATGATCTAATCCACATCTAAACACAGCTTTCCTGAAACGAGAGATTGGCATCTGAAAACACTTACTTGAGTGATAACTGCTTTGAATTTCTTTGAAATTATGCCAAAACAGATATGTTATTTGATGCATTTTTGTAGTTTGGTTCTGGATTTTTTTTTTGTAAACACTTAAGTAGTCAGAACAATTTTCAGATTATGCCTCAGGTCTATTTAACTATATTACCTCTCAAACTATAAACAGAAGTCTGCTCACTGTACTTCAGGAGAAGTTTTTGTTTGTTTTCTTTGTAATGAGAGTCTGGCACAGAGATTAGAGTAAGTTGGAGTTACCTGGAGGAGAGGGGCCCAAAAGGTGTTCGGAAGCAGGACACTCCTCTTTGCCTTCGTTTTCTAAATGCTTGCTCTACTAGTTTGGCTTCAGAGGGAGGGTCAATTCGCCAAAAGGAGCCTTTTCCAGGCTCCTCCTGGGAGCGTGGGACTTTAATAAAGTAACGGTTCAAGGAGAGGTTGTGCCGAATGGAATTCTGCAGGAAGCAGAGGAATGAGATGATTATTTTGCCATGAGGAAGCATATAACAAAGACGGTTGGGTTTCACCACACAGCTTAGAACAATAAAATCCACACTGCCAGAATCAATGTTGAAGATAGAAACCCGTCACACAGCTCCAAAGTCACAGGAGAACTCCAAGAGAAAACCTGGGGAAACTTGTCAGAGCTTCTATTAAACATGCTGAAAGATGGGTTTGCTTGGTACTACAGCATCTCTTAAATACATCTGGAGCCAGGCAGTGCAGTGACTTTTCTATGGAAAGCAATGAAAGCAGAGTTTTTGCTGAGGCAGAGGGAAACCACTGTAAACCACATCAGAACTCTCTCAAAAGACAGGCTTTATTCTAGGTAAGTGGAAAAAATTGCCTGAGCCTGTGCTAACTGCTTACCTGCCAAATGTTCACCAGGGTGCCCAAACATGCCCTAAAGGACACAGCGTCTCATGGTAATCATAATGCAAGCCAGCCAGCATGCTCTCAGACAGCTGCTTCTGAGAAAAAAACCATTATCTATGTGGTACTAGTCTAGCACTGTACAGATCTCCAGATGTTCACAAGACTATTTACCCTTTTCATTGCAAAAGCACATCTCTTACTGGGTGTAGTACTGTCTTTTGGGCTAGGGGAAAGGCTCAGTAAGCCCAGGTGTGCACAAGTTCATTCCTCTTCCACTTTCAAAACAAAACAATAGCTTTTGTAGCAGCTTTAGATGAGCTCTTCACAATTGAAGCCTTACAATGCCACTGGTAGGGGAGGGGGAAAGGCAACTTCACCCTCCACTGAAACGCAGCTCTCAAGCAGGATGCAGCAACTCGTCCGCAAAGCACAACTCTGTTGAGCAGGTTAAGGCAGGAAGTAAATTCCACAATTAATTAGAACTGCAGGGAAAAGCCAGGGAGGCAGAAATGTATTTATTCCAACTGTACTCAAAGTGCACCAAGTAGTACTGCTCCTGCCAGTTGAACACAATGAAATCAGCAGCTGCAAGAGTCTTTCCAGCTGCATTAGTGTATTATATTCAAATGACAACACCCATCAGAGAGGTGCCATGCCAAGAAAAAGCCTGAAAGCAGGTGGAGTTGAGGTTTCTGGAATTTCAAAAGCAGCCCTCAAGTGAACATTTAAGCTTGATTTAGCACGTGTTAACGACATCCAAACTCTCCTACCAAGCCCATTAGACTTCCTTTAATACCACAAGGAAGGCACAGACTCAAAGTTCCACAAGTTCCCAATCAAAGATTCAAAGCTTGCAAACTGACTCAGGCGATGCAGATGATACACTGGGAAAACAGAAAATCTGTGATGACTTAAGGTGTTATGATTAAAAACTGGGACCTCAGTTTTAGGACAGACAGCTTCTGCTTGGACAGATCATGCCAAACAAAGACAAGGTGAAGGCTTAAGCAAGATTCAGGCAAGTATGTGGGCAGCAGAGCAACTGCTGTGGAAAAATAAAAAACAAATAAAAATGAAAGACACACAACTACAACATTAATAGGGTTTCAGACACCAGAGAACCCAATAGTAACACACTACATTGCTCTAGAAGGTATTTAAAAAATCCACCTAATCACCAGAATCTAGTTAGCTTACGCTAAACAAATTCACTCTGGGAATAGTCAAAGCAGCTCTATTCCCAGTTCCCCAAATCTTTAATAAATGCATTTCCAAGCAGATAAGCTCTGTCAAAGTAGTTTAAAAGCTTGTCAGAGTCAAAAACTCACCTGCCAGCCTTTGTCAGCAGTCCTGTAATATGGATAATGCTTGGTAATGTGGGCATAGATCCCACTTAGTGTTAATTGCCTGTCCTGGGCTGAAGATATAGCCTGCACAATTAGCTGAGCATAAGAATAGGGTGGCTTGGACTCATCCTAAAGAAAAACAAACAGAAGTTTAGTCACTAACAGAATTTCTACACTAGAGTATACCAACAACCCAAACCAAAAAAGCACATTGGGCTGTAGTTTTCACAGATGCTAAGAGAGCATAAGGAGCAACTAAAAGCAGCATCATCCTCTTCCCTTTCACTCCTGTTTTATACTGCCATCTCTCCATTTAGCACAAGCATTTGTGTGCAAACAGGGCTAAAGGACCAAGCGAGACCAAAGTATCTCCTTCCCTCTCCCCACACACACATAAAAGCTAACTTCAGTCTGATGTCATTCCCCACCGACTTTACCAGACATGCTTAACACCAGCCCAAGGAACAGGATCAGGACAGGCAATTGAAAGCAGAGTTAGAGGGTGCAAAGTACATTCACTGCTTAGTGTTCCTGAAACTAGAGCCTTCAGTTCTGCCCAGCTACAACTACACTTCGTTAGAAAGGTTTCATGCAAGTATGCTATCAGCTCTCCTCCCAGCAATAAGCCCAATATGAAATCTGATCCTGTCCCTTCCCCTCTCCAGCAGGATTTGTTTCATTCTAAGAACTTTAATTTGTTTGCCAGATCTCATATTCCCAGCTCTTCATATTACTCCATCAAGAACAGCCTTTCTTGTCTCAAGGGAGAATTCAATCTACAAAAAAAGCCATCTAGTATTGTGCTCCTCCACCCAATCCCAAATCAGGTGGTTTTGGATCTAGACCTTTAACTTTGATCTGAAGATCAGCTCACCAAAATGAAATTTTATCATTATAACTAAGTTATTTTTTAATCTAAATTCCACTTGCTACTCTCCTCATTTAACGCTTGCTTAACAGGCCTTTGTGTTTGTTTTAAAGTCAGACTACAGATTTCTCATGGTAAGTATCTGGTTTCTTTCCCTGCTTCCCCTTTCTCCAATTGTGTGAGAAAACAAGACTCTGAATTTTAATGCACTCCTTTATGGGTTATCAAACAAGCAGAAAAACTTATCACTTAACCATTTTGGTGAATGATTTGAATACATTTTGGGCAGCTAAGGAAGCAAATTCATCATCTACCACTAGTAAAACACTGGTTTGAAGACGTGGTCTCAAAACCCTGTATACAGTGCCCTTATGGCCAGGGTGTTCTTACAGTCCTTTTAACTATATCTAGCACTGGCAATAAACTGCTGGGTCTTAATAAGCTTCCCAGTGAGCCCTGCTGGGTAAGTAATGTTTCTCTGAACCTTTGGGCTGTCCCCGCCAGATGCATCTGCCTGCTGTTCTGATGCTGCTTTTGCAGCATACTCTGCTGCCAGCTGCAGATCCGAGGTAATGTTGTGAACAAAACGATATCCTGAGGATCCAGCACCACGTGGACTGGCTGGGCAAGAGTTGGGAACACTGCAGAGGCAAAAAGAAAATACAGTTATTCATTACTTCATTTATTAACAAGATACATAGTTCTCACTCTCTAAGGTACGCTAAAGCTCCCAGGTCATTGAGAAGCAGATAAGCACTGGGCTTATTTTTGTCCCTGTGGTTTATCCAAAGCCCAGAGACTGAGAAAAAACCTGTCAGAGATAAAACTGGAATTTCTACAAAATCCTGACTGCCCCCCGCCCTTCTGCAATCACAAGACAGCAGTCTCAAAGCATTAAACAACTCCTCTATGTTTAGAGAAGAATTTAACACAACATACACTGTATCAGGGATGAATACTTAACTAAATAGCTTGCTATTACAACTTCTGAACAAGCAATACACCACCCTCCTTATGACACAGATATTTAACCAATCCTTTTAACAGATACAGGCTATGTTCTTTTACAGTATAAAAGCACCCAGTGCAGGCACCTGCCATGAAAGCCCCTGTCTAACACAACACCTGAGCTTCAGAAGATCATACCCTGATCAGAGCCACACAGGTATTTCTGTCATTCACCAGCACACAAATGCAGGTAACAAAAGGGAGCTGCAATCACTAATATACAACACAGAAGGTAGCTCACTCATCAGCTTTGGCTAGCGTGGGGCAAAGCCACGTTTAGAGCCCCAGGGCCACCACAAGATGGCATTACAGGAACAGCTACTAAGCAGGAAAGCCATGCTAAAGCTGATAAAACACTACAAATAAAAGGTGGCTGTAATTTGCAGCACCACTCAGGCACACAGAAGCGAGTGCTACAAGATGAGAACTAATCAGAAAGGCTTGTCTAGGGATCACACATCCTTGATTTGTGGGGTTGGAAGGACAGGAGAGGAAGGATGAGTCTGGGAACTTGAAGTTCCCTTTTTCTGTCTCTGCTCTGTGCTGTCCAGCATGAAGGGGTGCAACGCAAGAGCAGCATGACGCATAGCCAAATCCCAGGATTACATATGTCTTCTACATAAGAGCAGAGAAAGTGAACAAGAAAGCAAAACAATACACAGAAGATTTACATAGCAAAACAAGCAGTTCAAATTGTATGAAGAGATGCAAATTGAAGCCCACAGCTGGGAACTAGAATTCAGTAAAACTGGCATAAACAATCCTCTTATCAATCAAACGCCCGACAGCAGTGCTAACCCTGACACAAATAAATGCAATAATTGACACTTGGAGCACTGTGCTAAATGCTGCATGAGAAAACACAGATCACAGTCCTTTTCTCAAAAAGGTGACTGTCTAAATTGCTTCCCACACACACGTACACATGCAGACTGAGAGGAAACAGTGAGACAACCCTTGTTTGCTCAACGGGCAATACCTTCGGTGCACAAGCAATCTGACCGTGTAAAGAATGACCATTTCCTACCACAGTCCAGCCTGTAAACTGAGAAGTACTGCTTTTCCTTGTGGCATCTTTGCAAATAGCTGCAGTGCTGAGCTCTGCACAACCGAGACTGGTTTCTTATAAAAGTGAATTACAGGATGGGGAGGTCAGGGGAGAGGGTAAAAGCAACAAAAATATCCAGCCACAACAAACCCTCACAATAGGAAACCCGACCCATCTCCCATATAATGGCCAACTGAAGCGTTGCACAGCACCTGGTAACCCTTTCAGTTCCCACCAACAGTCCTTGGCATTAATGGGAAATGCTGCTCACAAGCACGTCAGGAGGGAAAGCTGTCAGGAGGGAAAGCTTTCAGGAGGTGCAAGGTATATAATGCTGATGAGCCCATACATATAAGTCTCCCTCTGCCAGGGATAAAGGCATTTCTTACCTAGTCTTTCAAAAAGCAGAGACCTGTTTGTGCAGGAAAATGAATCAAAGTTCACTATTTCAAGCTTTAAGCCCGTTTTGGAAGTGGATAATACTAAACCACAGAAGACACCCTTGATGTCTTAGTACTCACATGGGGAGCTAGTGTGAATTTAATTATTCTGCTGTCATTTTTCAATAGCTTTTCCACATACACACTCCTTATAAAGTGTAGATAATTACAAATGAAAGCCATTTTCATACATGAAACAATGACAAACCAAAAAACACAGCAATTCTTTTTATCTTTGTGTTTGGCACCCGAGCAATTATAACACATGGACTAAGAATGGAACGAGATGAAACAGTTTTCCGATTTTGTTCTTCGTCTGCAGAAATACATGAACAGCAAACCACAGAAACAAAAGCCAAAACTCAGGTCAAAGATATGGAAGAGAGAAAAGTTCTCCAGTAAATCCATGCTCTGTAGAGTGCTGTATTTCTGTGCCTTTCTTTGGGTAAGTAAATAAATAAAACTAGTATGGCTTCAAAGATTGTCCCATGCAGTCCAGATACAAGAATTGATTTTGTTTCTTCCAAGATCAGCAGATCAAGTAGTCCAGTTTTTGCTCGTCAAATTTTAGCTTCTGAGGCTCAATGACTTTTAAGTATGACTTCTTGCCTTTTTTAAAAAGCCCTTACCCTGCAGGGCTGTGATTCTCTTGAGTGCTGACAAAGCCCGTCCAACCTGAAGTGCTGTTAACTTTTAGAAAAGTCAGCCTCTCCCAGTAGATAATCACTGAAGAACTTAATAGTCCCCCTGAAGAAGCAGCTGTCCCTTGGGACAGCCACAGCAGTAGCCAAATATTTGGAAGAGGTATTATTCTTTTACCAGAATGAAGCACTTTTGTTCAGGTAGACCTGCTTCCTTTCAGCCTAGATGAACGATCAAGACACATGATAACAGAATAAACAAGAACAACTGTTAGGTGCTCCATGCAAAGAGACAGGGTAACACAGGCTGCTAAGTGTTCAAGCTCTCAGTCAATCATCAGAGAGCTCTTCAAAGGGAAGGGAGAAAGATACGACTACTGGAAAAAACAAGGAGAAACAGCCTGTCCCATCCCCCCCCAACACAGGACAGAAACAGTGAAGAAACAGTTTTACTAAGAATACCCCTCAGAGTTAAGTTAAAATTAAACATTAGTGCAGTCAAAACAAAACAAGCAAACAATGCAGTGACATCAGTTTCCTGGAGTTCCTGGAATTTTCCTTGCCACCTAGAGCTGGGGATGCTTGCATTCACTCACACCCCCTTTAAAAATACTATGGAACAAAAAGACTTTTCCCTACAAACACCTGTTTGTGCTAGAAAACAGAAATCAAGTGTTTAGGCAGTGATTATGGTTTGTTGGACATTAATACTGCATCAATACATGGTGATAATTTGATCCATTTTGACATTATAAACTTTTACTGAGAAAAGCATAGGTAGGCCTGCAGTTTCACCCAGCTCTCAGACATCCTAACTTACTGTGGTGATCCATGCTTACTGTCCATGTAATACAAACTTATTTAGGTTAAGCTTGTCTGTTAGAGAGAGTTTTCGGAGAGGAAGCAAGTGTTTTATACCATTGAAAAAACACACAGAGCATGTAAACAAACCAGCTGCAATTACCCACAGTCTTAAACCAGTGGCACCATGGTTAATGCCTCAAGCCCCAGAGATCTTTGATATTCACTGAGGATTCAGCATCTCAACTTGAAACATTGACTGCATGCAGCCATTGAGCCACAGTTCCCCAAAATACCACGCTGAGACTCATCTTCAGAATCAGACTACAACCACGTGCTGAATCACATCAGCCCTTTGTAACATGTTTTCCATCCAACACTTAACCCTTCTTCAGATGAAAGGCCAGAAAGACGAGGGCTGAATACAGTGTTAGCAATACATTCACTCATGTAACAGGCAGAATGCCTTTTAAACACAGGGCTTAATCTCTGGCTATTGAGAAAGTAACAGTTCTTCATAGCATCATGACTCACTTTCAACTCCAGCCAACAAGAATCTAGCCTCTTAAGTTCACAGCACTTTAAAGACTTTATTGTTGCTAGAAACACCAGCTATTGGAGAACATGTAAAGCTTATTGCATTTCTGCTGGAATGTTCAAAATCAGTCTGCTTTACCTAAAGAATCAGAGTGCAGAAATAGGACATTCCAGTGTGTATGGATACTGTGTGTTGGCTTTTCTCTTCTCATTTCAAAGAAAGAAGGACACAGGAGACCCAGAGAAGGTGCTGATAGGGATAACTAGGATAATCAGAAATACAGAATGGATTCTATACAGGAAACAGTTTAAGACAGAAGCCAAGGTGCAAAGAGGTGGTGTTCAACTCCTGGGCTCTTCCAATAGAAGTGATGATGAACACAATGAAACTAAGCAGCATGTCTAAGTGAAGTGCTCCTACATTTGTAGTTACCCTGTGGAACAACATGCTATAAGACAGGGTTGATGCTACAAATCTATGTTAATGCAAACAGCCATTATACAAGTTCTCGGGGAAAGGAGGAAGACAGGGAATCCATCAGGGACTTTATTAGACAGATGGTCAGGAAGTCCCTGCTCTGAGGCAGTCCCTGATTCAAGAAAATGGCACAGGCAGACTGCACGTAAGTTAGCATTACACTGTTCTCTGTGTTTTTGTATTACCCCAAAGATACCCATCTGAGGCAGAAGACTGGGCTAGAGGGATGTGTTGCCTAAGCACATACAGAGATTCCTCTGTGTAAGCCTCCAGACTCTCTCAATACTAGTCACATTTCACAGACGGGGGGGTGGGAATAAAAATGAAGCAACAAGCGGTTAAATGATTTATTTATGGTCATACGAAAAGTCTGTGAATAAGCTGAGAACAGAAACACTCCCAAACTCCAGTGCCAATTTCTCCAGAATGACAGGCAGTACAAGAATGCAGGAAAGTTGCCCTATTACTTAATTTCATTCTTTTCTGCAAGAAGGACATCTGTAGGGATCAGCCTAAACAGGCTTAATTTAAGCCAGGTATATGGATATAGCACCTACCTACTCTATGAAGAGGAAAGATTACCTGGGATCCTACAGAAAATTGTTCACCTGACTTAGAATCTGCAATGCTGAAGAGGAAAAAACCCACCTCTTCAACTTTGTGGTTTAGGATATGGTATGCACATGGG